CCTGATTTTTGTGTGGTCCTCTACGACCGACCACGTTATTGAGCAATGCCATCGGCCGATCGCATTCGGGGTCCTGCGGCGTCGCGCCGACCAACACGGCATTCCTTACGTTTTTCACCATCAACCAGCTTCGACAGATATGTTCATACAAACCTCCACGTCTGTGTCTGTCTGTCTGTCTGCCGTCGAAAGCGGTCTTTGTTTACCAGCACACGACAATGAATAGTTGCCGCCGTCGCAGCCGTCCTTTGTTGATCGCTGTCATAAATCACTCCGTAGCCGCTGCCCTCAGATGCATGACGACTCTTAGATTCTTCTCTCCTGCGCCCGTGAGGTAAATGTGCGGTGAATGCTTGGCGTGCCAACAAAGATCAGCTACTTATGTTTACCTCATTGCACATGCCTTTCCCTCATTCCCTCCTTGACGATACCTCGTTCTGCAGAGAAAGCAATAGAAAGAGTTTTCGAAAACATCAGAGTTGTACAAATGAAGAAAAGCAATAGACTCGGTCGTGCACGTTACTACGAAACCACATAAGTAGGCTAATCCAGATATGAATCAGTAGCCGAAAAAGTTCCAACTTCGAACTCTTTACTCGAAGTGACGAAGCATCCGAAGTTATAAGGAATATTTCGTTTCCAATGCACGGAATCAATGAGACGCACTTCCTCGTTCATTCTGGCTTAGGGTTCGTCAGCATGCTAGCAATATGAAAAAAGTGATTATGCTTCAACTGGTTCCAATTCTTCACCTTCTCCATCTTTCCAGTCTGGCCAACGCTTCCTGTTTTCTCTTTGAAATATTGCTTTTTGACCAGGCGCTCAAAACGACGTAAAATCTAAGGTGACCGTAAGAAGGCTCCTCGTTTTTTTTATTCTGACCTCTCTATTTGGCGATATTCATATTTCTAGTACCACGCAGTCGTTTGTTCGGTGTTCTGTCATTTAGCATGCGCAATGCGTCAGTAGCACCGTGTTTCCAACCCTCGACGAGGCTCGTAAAAACCAGTTCATTAACTACCCTCCATTCGAAAACAGTTTCTGTCACGAGGTCACTCGCGGCGCCGAGTAAAAAGTGTGACTGTGAACTCCAGAGGCTTCGCGCATGTTAGACGGAAGGGCAACCTGTTAGTGTCAAAGAGACGTTTCTTGATTTTCTCTTCCGTGGTGGTTCTTTTTGCCCGTTTCGTGGCACAAGGGGTAGGCGTGCTTCAGGCAGGGCTGCCTGCTGACACCAGCATGGGTGCCGTTTTGCACGTTACATTAGACTTACCATTCTGTTCCGGTGTATGGTCATGTGACCTATGGTTTGAGTTGCTCGCCTCTTGCTCATCGTTGCCATCAACTGACACTAGGGGCTTTTGCACAGCCCTTCTTGATGAGGAGGTAAAGTCTACAGCTTACGGAAGAAAAGGTAAGAAGGTTTGTGACTGCGGTAACACCTGCGGAAAATTTCTTTTCGCACAGCCTGTAATACGGTGCTGATCTACGTTTCTCTGCCATCACCTGCGAGTGCCTCTTTTTGAACGGTTATGTGGCTAGGTGTGGCCTGTACTTTTCTTTCCACAAAATCGTAGTAATTTATCTACCTCGTAAGGTTGTATGATCAGAGACTTGTCGAGGGTTCGAACGTAAGGCTTCTCGACCGAGAGTTCGGTGGACTGCCGCATGATTGACTGATGCTCTATGAGGAACAGCAGTAACAATGCATTATGAGGTTGGCATTAGGACGCATTTGCATTTGCACCAGCGAACTATGGTCGTTGAAGATGGCTAAAAATCGGAGGACAAGTCTTGGGTACTCGTGTTTACTCGGTCTCCTCCGAGAAGGAAAAAACGAAGAGAGGTGATAGGTGTCTAACTCAATTTACAACTGTCGCACTGTCCTGACGAATAACCAGCTGTCACATAAGTAAAGACACATATCAGCTGTCGAGCGGATGAAAGTATGCAATTTCCACTCAGTCATCATTGAGACAATACGAGATGTCACAGTCTCTTGATTATTCGTAACTAAATGAACGGTGATCTATTTCTTGACTGGTTCACCACCGGCATGGCATGGCAGGTATGGTGCCTTACTCGAGGACAAACGTATCCTCTTATACGTCTGAGGTGCAAGAGTAAACTGCCCTCATATCAAGTCTAGAATTTGTAGCTTAGTGGTTTTCTAAATTCCTGTAGCAAGCGATGAAAGTTTAAAGCTTCTGATAATCTTCCATCTCAGTGTATTTTCTTGTGAACAACTCTGACTATTGCTTCAATACTGAAAGTTTAAACTTCACAAATAACGGAAGAAATGTTGACCACTTTCAGAACCATTGCTTTGTCGAAGAGATGGAGAATTTAAATTTCGTTCAAGGTTGTTTGTTCTTGTTCCTTACACATTACGAGCATATCTGTGCCATTCGGCAAAATATGCATCTACGTTGTATACGTGGCCTCCTTAAATGATCCTGTACGAGTTAGAAGCAACGATAGGGGACGGAAATTAAGTGTAGTAGATCAGATCTGGAAGAGGTACTTGCTTATTAAAATGGTCAGACGTACAAAGCCACCAGTTTCATATTTGCAATAGCATATAATGACGCAGACTTCAGAGACATGTATAAAGATCGTGTATAAAGTAACTGTTTATGCAATATGATGATGAGAGATTATACTTTTGCTGCAGGTGCATTGATACTAACAGTTTTGCTTGTCAAATAATTCCTCTACGAATCCTGAAGGAAGAGAAGTAGTGTAACGTTGTGAATTCAAACGTTTCGAAAGAATAACGTGTTTGTTAATCAATAACTTGTTATTCTGTATATTGTCTTGACACGACTGAAAGATAAAGAGGATCCATGAATATCACAGTAACGGTATTTTCATTAAGCAACGGTTGTCACTAGTAATCGTTAGTCTGACTGAACAATATCCGTTATCCGTTATTCGACTAGTTCTCGTTATGAATGCCCTATAAGCGCAAGTCGATGCTCCTCCAGCGAATAATTCTATTTTCCCCTTTCTGCATTCACCGCTGACCAAATGAAATGACCATTGAATCGCCCCAGCGTATTTCCGGATGACGGAGTGAATGTCTGTGCCTCAGTAGAACTCAGGCTTTAATTCTTGACATCCAATGGTTGCCTTTCAGGAGAGTCACATGACCGCTCTATCTTCTCCGTTAACGCAGTTTGTTGTTGAAAAGTCGGTGTGCTCCAAACGTGTTCCAGGAAGAAGACCTTGCACATTCTTCTCTTAATCATTACTTGCTTGGCCATCAGTGTGATCTTCTCAAATTTGGTAGCACACAAACGTTCGGTGCTGTAGATCGTGGGCAGCAGAATGGTTGAATTCGAACAGTTCTTGCTTAGTCCGCCAGAGCAGTTCACAGTCGAGCAGCGGTATCTTTGTATGGTTACAGATTATACATGTTGCACCCCTGTTTCTGTTGATTTCCCGGTGTAACGAGTTCACGCGGTCCACCTGAAGCCGGCTAAGCAATATACTAAACCCCAAGATTCGTCTGTTATCGATAGGTATGACGAAATCGTTCATATTCGTTGCGGGGGGGGGCAGCTGTAGGCATTAG